CATGATGTAAATTAGAGTGTTGCAGTCCAATCACATCCCCATCAAGGTTCTCAAATGAAACCCCCTACTGAGATAGGGGCTATTGGATTTCCATCTGTGTGTATCTTGCTGTCGGTGGCTATTGTTTAAGTAACACTGGTTTGTGTTACTATTTTTTTATTCAATACATGTTGTTGCCTGGTTAAAAGGAAAGAAAATTGCAGTATTAAAAGAGTAGTATTTTCACAGAGTCATGTGATGTAAACTGCTAATTCAAAACCCAAAATATTGTTAAAGTGTCTTTATTTAATAGCAGGCGATTGCAAGCTGTAATTTTCAAGCTGTAGTTGCAGATGGCAATGTTTTTCTCTTTTCAGCAGTATAGTACAGTATTTACTGCAGAGATCTGCAGACAATGAAATACCAACTGCGAAAGAAATGCTCATGAGTAATACAAACTATTAGGTTCCCACAGGCGTCCAGCTTGCGAGCTACCTGCCGTAATTCACAGAATGCAAATACTCAGTGAGATATTAAAAACAGGTATCCAGTCACAGAGAATGGCTCTCTTAGACATTTTTAGCACTTTTGATTACCAAGTATGCTCCCAGTCCAAAACAACAGCATTTGTTTTCTTTCTTTATTTTTAAACCTTTTGGATTCATTTCCCAATTCACATCTGGAAGCCCTGGTCTGCGTTTTAAAATTGACAGGCACACTAACTGGAAAAATTGTGTATGATCGGTCACATCTAGCATGCTACTTTTCATACATGACTAAATGCCAAGCCTGTAGATTATCTTCAGTTTGTTAAACCGAATTTCTCTCTGGCTTTTATTTCATCTTGTTAAACAACTCATTAATGTTTATTTTGCAGAAAAAAAACAATTAGTTAACATTGTCTATTTAACAGCATTATATAAAACATTTAAATACTGTATTCTGTAGTGCCATCTAGGGGATTTAAAACAGAGAGTAAAGTGCTGACCGGATAAAGAAACAATAAACATTAAGAAATCAGTTATGAGTCCCAGGGCAATTTCCTATACATGTCCTATAGTGTTTGGGATAATATTTTGTATGACAGTAGGGATATTTGAACAAGGTCACAGATGGTGGTGTATCTGTAGAATGCATAAATAGGAAAAGATGTATTGTGCTATGCTCGTGCTTTATGGGGCAATACTTCACAAATGCAACCTTGAAAAAACAGTTTTCCCAGTAAAATCAATGTCAGGCACTAAAACTGGATTTAGAAAAAAAATTCTAACCTCAGTTCAGTTACCATGAAATGTACAGGATGTGTGTACACTAAAGGCATGATTAGACAGGTTCTTTGATAAAATTACAGCAAACTGGAAATAATCCCAAAGAGATACTGACACTTATTTCAAATCTCAGCACTATTCAAATTTTTTAGTTAAAGCTTCCTGAACTAGATGCCATTACGCAGTAATTTCCAATGCATCGTTGAGTAAATCAGCAGAATGAATGTATTTCATATTGTGTTGAGAGTTGACATGATTTATAATCTTTTTAATCATATTTGTATTCTGTGTTCTTAAACAAACCAATTATAACATTTTCTTTCCTGGAGGCTCTCTGTGCCAAATACACAAGTTCACACATTAGCTGTTTCATTCTTCAAAAGGAGTGCAGAGAATCTAGAGCCAAAGCACTGCCATGTGCAGGTGTATGCACACACCCAGCACACACAACAATATACTTCCAAAACTCTGGAGTCTTTCCATATAGTGCATAGTAAAAACTAGTTCATAAACATCACATATAAAGAGAGAGAAAGGGCAAGTCTGTGCCAGATCCCCAGCTGGTGTCAATCACTGGAGCTATGATAATTTACACCAGCTGAGGACCTGGCACATACTGACATCGTCATTCATACTGAATGATGATGGTAACGGCAGATTACTCTCTGTGAGTTACAAAGAGGCACGAGGCCCAGTTTCTCAGTGGGATGTCAAAATGGCACTTGGTAGATCAAACAGTTACTTGGGTTCTTTTAAAAAATGTTTTGCTTTTCAGAAATGCCTAAGTGATTTAAGAATACAAATCCAATTGATTTTGGTGATCTCACCCTAGATTTGCTAGGGGGTCTCTGCTTTTCATGCTTTTGTTCAAACTTTGGAAACCTTGTCAGACACTAGCCCTGTTTGTAACCTTTCTCAATCTCCATGACCGCTCTTTTATGGTGAGGTAACCAAAATGATATCGTACTCCATGGGCCTGATCCTGAGTTCCTTTTTCAGGCATAACTTTCATTGACACCATCGCAGGATCAGGTCCCATCTGAAGTTACATCTTTGTCTCATATAATATAATTACAAAGTCCTCTCTATCATACAACTAAATATTACCCTTATACTGTATAAATCCCGCCAACTGCACTGTGATGTGGCTGCCAGTCCTAAGCCCAGATAAATTGAGAGCAAGGCTAACTACCTAGCCTTGTTAAAGAACCCACTGGTTAAAGCAGGGGTGGCCAACCTGTGCTCCGGAGCCACATGCGGTTCTTCAGAAGTTAGTATGTGGCTCCTTGTATAGGCACCGACTCCGGGGCTGGAGCTACAGGCGCCAACTTTCCAATTAGTGTGTCGGGGGGGTGCTCACTGTTCAACCCCTGGCTCTGCCACAGGCCCTGCCCCCACTCCACCTCTTCCTGCCCCCTCCTGAGCCTGCCGTGCCCTCACTCCTCCCCACTCCCTCCCAGAGCCTCCTGCATGCCTCAAAACAGCTTATTGGGAGGTGCGGGGACGGAGGGGGAGGTACTGATCGGTGGGGCTGCCAGTGGGTGGGAGGCCCTGGGAGCTGGTGGGGTAGCTGATGGGGGGCTGCTGATGCATTACTGTGGCTCTTTGGCAATGTATATTGGGAAATTCTGGCTCCTTCTCAGGCTCAGGTCGGCCACCCCTGGGTTAAAGAAACAGAAGCAGGCTCCTGTTCAGAGAGAACTGCTGAGCTCTTTCACTGCATGAAGGCTCTTGGTGAAAGCCAATCTCTGGAAGGCAGGACCCCAAAAAGTGTGATGCTGGCAACAAGAAAACACTTCAAAGGTGGTTATTGGAACATGAGAACAATTTCAAATAGATCATGAGGGAAATGGAAAATTATAGACTCAAAATCTTGGGCATCAGGGAGAGCAGACTGTCAGGTGCACATAAGAAGCATTTCAAGCAGGAGAAGAAACATCTCCTTTGTTCAGATCACAGTGACAAAATATACTCTGAGGGAGTAGCACTCATTATGACAGATTCTGAGGAAAAATCATTCATCAACTGGAAATTAATCAGTCAACGCATCATACACCCCAGATTCCAAACCAGATTCTTAAAGAAGTCAATGATACAGTGTATGCTCTGACAGAGGAATATAGTGATGAGGATAAAGATGAGTTCTACAATTACCTCCAAAGTGTGGTTAACAGCATACCAGAACATGACTTACTCCTTGTGATGGGCAAAATTAACACTAAAGTAGGGTATGACAACCAAGGAATGGAAAGAGCAATGGAGAAACATAGGTTCGGAATCATCCACCAAAATGGTGAAAGACTCATTGGACACCAAATACAATTCAATCTAGTTCTTGCAAACACAGTGTTCCCTCACAAAGGCACAAAGACAAAGAAACATGGGATTTGCCAGATGGCAAAATGAAAAAACAGATTGATTAGATCTGGATTAGCTCAAGATTCAGGTCATCTTTCCCAGATGTAAAGGCATAGCATATCAAACAACAGACGTTAGCTGTGATCACAATCTTTGCATTGCCAAACCAAAATTAAAACTGAGAAAGATCAATTTTAATCAGAAAATGGTGAAGAAAATCAGCAATACAAAACTGAAATCCAAAGAGTACTGTGAGAAATCCCACCTGAATTAAAGAACAATTTTGAAGTACTACCAGAGGCAGGAGAAGGTGAGACACAGACTAGACCTGAGGAAAAATGGGCAATGCTCAGAGACAATGTAATTCAGGCTGCAGCAGTCAGAGTTGGATATCAGCATAGACAGAGCAATATATGGAAAAGCCAAGAGACAAGGCATCTCACTGAGGAAAGAAAAGTGCTGAAAGGAAAACTCCTGAAAGCTAAGACCAAGGATTGGAAAAAAGCAAAGGATGAGTACAAGAAATCAGACAAAGCAGTGGAAAGCAATGCAAGGAAAGATAAATGGAGATCTGCTGAAGGCCTAGCAGCTGATGCTGCTTGTGTGATTGGAAATCACAGGGCCATTTACCAAGTGACTGTGCAGAAATTTCAAAACACGAAATGGGCCGATAAAAAGCAAAGATGGGAAAATGCTTACAACAGGAAAACAGATGAGCAGAGCATTTCAAAGACATCCTCAACAGCTCCAGCCCCACTTCAGAACCAGATTTTGATTAAACAGGCAAACCTGATCAGTTTTATATTAACATAGGTCCAATAGAGATGTCAGAAATAGCAGCTGCAATCAAGAAGCTGAAAAATAACAAAGCTGCGGGGGATGATCAACATACTGCTGAAATGCTAAAAGCACTCGATACCATCACCCTAAGGAAACTGACAGTGCTGTTCAATGAAGTTTGGTAAAAAGAGACATCCCTCCCCACTAATGGAGGGTACCCATAAGAGAGGCAAGGTGGGAAATGCCGAGTTTGTGAGTTCCACCAGGGAATAGGAATGAGAAAGGCACTGAGCTGCTGGGTGGTGTCAGGAGAGCAGTAGCTTTGCACATGCCCAGGAGAAGACATTTAGGCACCTTGAGGTCTTTACCAGTGGAAACTTTGACACCTAGGGACATCATGTGCCTACAGGGTTAGGTAGCAGCTGTGAGGTGGTTTTGTGAATGCCAGTAATGCCTATATGTTGGACTTGGGCACCTAAAGCCACCTAAATCCTCCTTGAGAATCTGGCCCCCGTGTGTTTAACACTCTTCCCACCCCCTCATATGTTATGTTTCATGGCATACCAACAGAGAAGTTTGATAACAAATACAAAATACTCTTGCTGAAAGTGTGGCTATGTAAAACTACTTTATTTCTTCATATTCAGAAGGATAACATACAAGAACAAAAACAGAGAGAGAGGAAAAAGCAGGTTGCTCCCCCAGGCACAACTCACCCCACTTTACTCTAGACTGGCTGGCTGGCTGCAAACTGACTACTGCCCACTTCCCTACAGAGCCCCGTAGCTTGAAACCAGGACCAGGAAAAAAATATTAAAATTTGAAGTGACAGCTTACAATTGTAACACAGTTTTAAATACACCACAGTACACAATGCATACAATAATCAGATGGTGTCAGAACTATTGGTAAAGTTTGAAAAGGACTCATGGATTCTTCTGTTGTCCTTCCTGGCAACATCATGCCTCGGTCTCCGCAGGAAGATGTGATGTGGGCTCCTACGTCTGCTTGAAGTCTCCCTGAGTCAGGAGCAGGAGGGTCAGCATCACCTTTTGTAACCTTCTACAGGTCTTGCTGGGAGCTCCGGCTGCTCTCCCCCAGGATTCCTGTAAATCAGGGAACATAAGGGCAGCAGTTTAGTTAGAACAAAGGAATGACAATGAGGAGTCCTGAGTGCTAGTCCCAATTCTGTCACTTTTAGTGTGGGATATTAGATGAGACATTTAACTATTCTACATCTCAGTTTCCCCATCTGCAAAAGGAGGATACCAACACCCACCTTTGTGAAGTGCACTGAGCATCCCACTTGGTGATAATAATATAACCGCCCAAAAGAAACAAAAGTTTGAAGCAAAGCATGAAAACCCGACTCAGTCATGGTCACTTTTATCTCCTATTGTTTACTTTCTCAAAGAACACTAACAGGCTGGGGTAGTGTGGCTTTCCCTCATGAAAGTTCTGCTGGTTTGACCCTATCAGGCTTTACTGTAACTGTCGTACCAATTCCATCCTTAATTAGGCTCTTAATTAGTTTCCCTGGAACCAAGGTGAGTCTCACTGCTCTGTAATTCCCCTGATCTCCCATGACTTCTTTTTAAATATAGATGGCATGTTATATGAACACTTTATTATCTTTAAGGATAATTGCTGTTTTAAAGAATATATTGCACTTCCTTGTCAATATCAATACTGTTTCAAACTTTATTTAAATTCAAAGTTTTCAAACCTATCCAGGCCTGGTGCACTTGGGAAATCTCAAACATACTGACTGGGTTTATGTTCTTGTATTGTACCCTTCATAGTGATTTGCCTATTGAGAAATAACAGAGAATGCCTAATGCCAATAACTGGGGCTAATCAAATCCGGCCCTGCCTTTTTCCACTCCTGTCCCATTGATTAGGTAAATAAATATCCTCTGGCCAAATGAAGAAAAAGCCAGAGTGAACAAATGCTTCTTGTACCACATCCTAAAAATGACAAGATATGGGCTGGATGAAAGAGCAGGAGGGAGTGATGGGCAAAATGAAGGTCCCTCTATTGAGAATGTCTTGCTTTATGACACCTGGACTTCAACCCTGGAAACAGACATTAAAAATTTTCAACAGTGGCTTGTCCCCATACACATGCCCTACACAAATAAAGGAAATCACCCCTGCATGAGCCAACTCTCACGGGATCACAGAACTTAGACATCGAAAAAGTCTCATTCAGTCACTTAGACCGAGATGCTTTGGTGTTGCTCCATTCAGCATTGAAATGCCTAACCCCCTGGATAGCCTGCTGTCTAGAGAAGTCTGCAGCTCTGAGTTAGCTACCCAGGCTCCCCATACAATGCATGGGGAGAGTTAGACACTTTAAAAAGATCTTAGAAGCCACCTAAGCTAGTCAGGAATGAAACATCGAGGAGAGGGTTGGGGAGAGGAAAGGGGCTTAATTACCTAAATGCCTGAACTGGTATGCAGGACTGCCAGGCCAGATAGGCACCTGCTTCTCTTTGAGATCCTCAGCCATGAAACCAGTCCTGGAGTTAGGCACCTAAACCAAGTCAGCTGCTTAGGTAGCTGTGCTGAGGTATCCACCCCACATAAGGTCTGAGTAGGCAAAAAGGGCCAATTAACCCCATCTCAGACTGCACCTGGAAGATAGGGTCTCATTGATGATGAAGCCCAGGTAGGCAGGGTCAGGTTGAGCTAGTATAAAAACAGGAAGTTATGAGCAAGCGGGTTCTGCAGAAAGGAACTCCGCAGTCACTCCCTAGAAAGGAGGGGTGTTAGCAAGAGACAAGGAGAAGTCCTTCGTGGAAATGAGCCTGGAGATCCTGCACTGGAATACAGACTCTGGCAAGAACCCAAGAGGGATGAAATAGTCACAGGGATCAGAGGAAGTTCTAGTGGTAACCCAGATGGGAACCAGCGTTTGAGAAGAAAGGAGCACAAGGAAACAACAAGAGGATCTGGGATTGCTTAGGCTGTAGTTGCTACTCATAGGGTCCCTGGACTGGAACCCAGAGTAGTGGGCAGTCCTGAGTTCCTCCACTGACCACTGGGTCAGAAGACTGCCTGAAACAGTTGATCCAGTGGATTTTGTTATCCCAGAACAGGATCGCTAAAGTGACATTGCCAGAAGGCTAAATCACAAAGAGGGAGTAAAACTGAGTCCACAGACAGGGTAAAAGAGAGACATCACGGGTCAAGCAACCAAAGGAGGGGGTGAATCAAGCCAGACAAGAGGCAATCTCCAGATAAGCCAGGAGGAGGCACCCCAGTAGCGAGTAGAAAACCCTGTGACTAGGGTAGAACTACTTTCTACTTGCACAAAACTGAACATCTTTGCCCTACCCCCGCCCTGCCCCTCCTCTGAGGCCCCGCCCCTGCCCCCACTCACTCCATCCCCCTTTCCTCTGTCACTCACTCTCTCCACCCTCACTCACTTGCTCTTTTTCACTGGGCTGGGGCAAGGGTTCTAGATGGGGAGCAGGCTCTGGCTGGGGATGCGGGCTCTGAAGTGGGGCCAGAAATGAGGAGTGCATGGAGCAGGCCCTCAAGGAAACCATTTTGAAGCACTTGGAGGAGAGGAAGGTGATCAGGAACAGTCAACATGGATTCACCAAGGGCAAGTCATGCCTGACCAACCTAATTGCCTTCTGTGATGAGATAAATGGCTCTGTGGATATGGGGAACACAGTGGACATGATACATCTTGACTTTAGCAAAGCTTTTGATACGGTCTTCCACAGTATTCTTCCCAGCAAGTTAAAAAAGTACGGACTGGATGAATGGACTATAAGGTGGATAGAAAGCTGGCTAGATTGTCGGGCTCAATGGGTAGTGATCAACAGCTCAATGTCTAGTAGGCAGCTGGTATCAAGCGGAGTGACCCAGGGGTCGGTCCTGGGGCTGGTTTTGTTCAACATCTTTATTAATCATCTGGATGATGGGATGGATTGCACCCTCAGCAAGTTCACAGATGACACTAAGCTAGGGGGAAGAGGTAGATATGCTGGAGGGTAGGAATAGGGTCCAGAGTGACCTAGACTAATTGGAGGATTGGGGCAAAATAAATCTGATGAGGTTCAACAAGGACAAGTGCAGAGTCCTGCACTTAGGACGCAAGAATCCCATGCACTGCTACAGGCTGGGGACCGAATGGCTAAGCAGCAGTTCTGCAGAAAAGGACCTGGGGATTACAGTGGATGAGAAGCTGGATATGAGTCAGCAGTGTGCCAACAGCATATTGGGCTGGGTTAGTAGGAGCACTTCCAGCAGATCGAGGGAAGTGATTCTTCCCCTCTATTCAGCACTGGTGAGGCCACATCTGAACTACTGCATCCAGTTTTGGGCTCCCCACTACAGAAAGGATATGGAAAAATTGGAGGGAATCCAGCAGAGGGCAATGAAAATGATCAGGGAGCTGGGGCACATGACTTATGAGGAGAGGCTGAGGAAACTGGGCTTATATAGTCTTCAGAAGAGAAGAGTAAGGGGGAATTTGATAGAGCCTTCAACTACCTGAAGGGGGGTTCCAAAGAGGATGGAGCTAGGCTGTTCTCAGTGGTGGCAGATGACAGAATCAAGGAGCAATGGTCTCAAGTTGCGGTGGGGGAGGTCTAGTTTGGATATTAGGAAACACTATTTCACTAGGAGGGTGGTGAAGCACTGGAATGGGTTACCTAGGAAGGTGGTGGAATCTCCATCCTTAGAGGTTTTTAAAGCCCGGCTTGACAAAGCCCTGGCTGGGATGATTTAGTTGGGGTTGGTCCTGCTTTAAGCAGGAGGTTGGACTAGAAGACCTCCTGAGGTCTCTTCCAACCCTAATCTTCTATGATTCTGTGAGGGAAGGGGCTCCAGGCTGAGGCAGTGGGTTGGGATGCGGGAAGGGGTGAGGGCTCTGGCTAGGGCGAGAGATGAGTGATTTGGGGTGCAGAAGGGGGATCCGGGCTGGGGAGTGGAGCCAAGGGGTTCAGAGTATGGGAGGGAGCTCCAGAACGAGGCAGGGGATTGGTGTGTGGGAGGGGGTATGGGATTGGGCTGGGGTTGTGGGTTCGGGGTGGGGCCAGAAATGAGGAGTTCAGGATGAGAGAGGTGGCTCCGGGCTGGGGCAGGGGGTTCGGGGTGGGGCCAGAAATGAGGAGTTCAGGATGAGAGAGGTGGCTCCGGGCTGGGGCAGGGGGTTCGGGGTGGGGCCAGAAATGAGGAGTTCAGGATGAGAGAGGTGGCTCCGGGCTGGGGCAGGGGGTTCGGTGCAGAGGGGGTGAGGGCTCTGGTGTGGGGACAGGGATAAAGGATTTGGGGTGCAGCAGGGGGCTCTGGGCTGGGGCTGACGGATTCAGAGTGTGGGAGGGGGCTCTGGGGGTTTGTGAGGGCTCTGGCTGAGGGTGCGGACTCTGGGATGGGGATGAGGGTTTGGGGAACAAGAGGGTGCTCTGGGCTGGGATTGAGGGGTTTGGAGGGTGGGAGGGGAAATCAGGGCTGGGGGGTGAGGTCTCTGGCTTGGTGTGCAGGCTCGGGGATGGGGCTGTGGATGACGGTTTCAGAGTGCAGGAGGGTGCTCCAGGCTGGGATTGAGGGAGTCAGCGGGCAGGAGAGGGTTCAGGGCTGGGGCAAGGGGTTGGGGCACAGGCTCTGGGCAGTACTTACCTCAGGCAGCTCTCAGAAGCAGCAGCAGTCCCCCTCTGGCTCCTATGCGGAGGTTCAGCTAGGTGGCTCTATGCGCTGCCCCGTGCACAAGTGCCACCCCTGCATCTCCCATTGGCCGCAGTTCACAACCAACAGGAGCTGCAGAGCCAGCGCTTGGGGTGGGTGCAGCATGCAGAGCCCCCTGGCTGCCCCTACATGTAGGAGTCAGAGGGGGGACACGCCGCTGCTTCTGGGAGCCACATGGAGCCTGCCTTAGCCCCACTGCACCACTGACTGGGCGTTTCAGTAAAAAACCGGACACCTGGCAATCCTACCTGTGACACTAGCCCATATCCTAGCAGCCACACTCGAAACCTCTTATGTTTTCCCTTTTCCATGTGCCCCCTGATGTCCTGTGTGGGAGCTGTACTGTGCCCCCACTCACCTATCAGTGGCCTGCATCCACTCTTCCTGCCGTGGGGTCTGAGCCGTCTGACAGGTGTCAGGTCTTAGATGTACTCAGAGCCCACCTACAGGATCCAGCTCTGTGGGTGAGGCAGACATTCTGCTAGAATCCCACTTCAGGGCTGGTGGGGCTCCAAACTGCTTGTTTGCTGTGTTTGCCTGGGATTTTCTAAGGAGCAAAAGGGAATCAGCCACCCAGGGGTTTTGGTTTTAAGCTAGTACTGGATGTGATCTTGTCTATCATTGTGAAGGATGCCATTTTGAGAGTGCGCTGCTCCACCCTGCCACTGTGACTTCACACGCACCATGCAAGTGAGATCACACTGGCAGGGACAGGCACTGAAAGCACCAGAATGTCTGTTGTTCGTGGCCACCCCAACCTAGTGGGATTTTCAAAAATGCCTAGAGGTTAGATCCACAAAGGGATTTATGCACTTAACTGCCACTTTTAGGTACCTAAATACGAAATTTAGATCCCCAAAACCTCTGCTTAGCTGCCACCTAACCTGTAGGTGTCTAAAATACCCTGTTGCTTACTTTTCCACTGATAAGGTCCCTCAGGCACCTAAAAATCTGCCAGTGGGCATGAATGCAGAGGCGTCAGTGCCAATGCTGAGGCACCTAAGCCCCAGCAGATTCCCCCTCTCTCCCCCGGACCTGATCAGATAGGCATGCTCAGAGGCCACCTAATAGATCAGGCCCTGTACAAAAAAGCAGGAGTGGTACCTATACCCCTTATAATGTTTAAAGTTGGGAACTCTTATCTTCCCTCTGCCTGACTCAAAGTAATTCAAACCAATGCCTCCTACCTCCTAGGAGAGTGCCCTAACCACAGGCCTCTGGGGTATTCTGCTGTGGGGCTCTGTCTCTCCTGTTGAAGCTGTTCATCTTTGTATAAAATAGTCATTGGAGGGGGCACTGGAACTTGAGTCCCTGGTGATTCCTGTGACTACTGGGCTATAAAGTCAATCCGTTGGACACAATGAATATTTAATTATTTACAGAGTGTGGAATGACTTCAACTGGAAAGAGAGAGATAAATTCCTTGAGGGGCAGGTGCAGGACCCACTCTTCTCTTCAGCATTCCCTACAGGCTAGCTGAGACAGCTCCGTGCTCAGCACGAGAGTCGGTGCTTTTGAAAAATCTCACTAGGCACCTATCTGCATCTTTAGGTTCCTATATACTGTTAGAAATCTGGCCCTAACTGCCTTAGGCTCTTTTGAAAATCCCAGCTTGGATTTAGTTATGAATGAAAAGAATGAACCATGTGAATTTTAAGCTAAGAAAAAAAAATAAGCCATGTGAAGTATCAGCAAATTAACTACAAATATGGGCTTAACATTCTTTAAGAGATAGGACACATCAGGAAGCTTATAAACCAAGATAACAATTATTATCAATATAATTCTTCCAACCTGATTTTGACGGCCTTATTTTAAATCATTTAATGTTTTTGATCAGACCACAGTATTTTTCCTCATGCCTTTCACCAACTAACATAAGAAATATAATTGTTCCTCAATTTTATAAGGTTTGCATTTCATCCTAACATTAGAGAATTAATCATGCGGGAAACTAAAGTGCAGTGATTAGAATGGATCACATTAAATAAGAAATAACTGAAAAATATATGTATTTTTTTAAACAAAGATAAGCTATCGAGACTTCATGTGAAGCTGTTACTAGCCAACTAATTTATTTCTATCAAACTGAATGAATAACCCCTTTAATAATATTCATAAAGCCCTAACTGAGAAGCATGCAGTGCAAATGTAATAATAATATTTTGTAGTTACACAGCATTTTTCATCAGAGGCTCCCAAAGTACTTTCACAAACATTTAATTGCATAAAACCTCAGAACCCCTCTGTGATATTTATTATAAATATTCAATGACAGGTAAAGAGAGGTTAAAATGTCTTTTCTAGGCAAGCCACCAATAGAACCCAAGTGTCCTTGTTCCTAGTACTGTGGTTTAACATAGGCAGCTCCTTCTCTGAACAGAGAATGGCAACTCTTCTGGAGTCAGTGGGCTGTCTGACTTCTCTCTCTATGGGGGTCTGATCCAAAACCCAGTAGCACCAATGCAAAAAATTCCACTGACTTCAATGAGCTTTAATTCACACCATTTCTACTCTACTGCTAGATCTATTTTTTTAAGCCAAGAAAGATGATGGCAGATTTGTGTAACACACTTTGTTTTCTCTGCTCCATAAGTAGGCAAACAGCCAATTTACACAAATAACAACCAGCATATGTATATATTGATTTGATACTGTCATGTTTTGGGGTGCAATCCAGATGGTGGTTATCACTGTGTGTCCTGTTACCCTGGGTGCCTTAAAATACTCTGTGTCTGGACACTCTCAGCCAGCATACAAGCATGCACTGAATGTCTGTGAAACACAGCCCTGGTTCAATACCTCTGATGCCAGCAGCCTGCTTGTTACACCACAGCTAAAGTCTGGTCTCCACCAGGCCTGGATACAACTAGCCAAGTGACCCCAACGCAACCCGAATCCTGAATTTCCCCAGGACCATCTGCCCTGAAGTGTCTGGTCCTTTCCTGAAACACTCAGATATAATAAGGTTTGTTTGCTCCTTTAAAGAGACAGTACCCAGGAGCTTGCCACATTAACTGGACTTAACAATTACTTCAATTAAAACATTACTGGGTTGGGTTAGATGAAAATAAAACAAGTTTATTGACAAGAAGACATAGGTTAAGTGATGACAAGTAAAAAATAAAGATAGAGATGGCTACAAGCAAATAAAAGTGAAAACATGAGCAGAAGTCTACATTTTAATCTAGAAAGGCACAGTCTTTGTTTAAGATGGTTTTGATCACCAATTACTCTTAGTTCAGCATGGCTGATTGTCTCTGTCAGGACCTTCCACAGAGGTATGAGATCCTGGTTTTCCTTGTTGTCTTAGGTGAAAGATAACTTTGGCATTCACTGCCCTTCTCTTTAAAGTGCAGTAAACCCTTGAAAAGCCTCTTTCTTAAAGTGCACTGACCCTACTGCAAGAAGCAGGCTTCCTAGGACTGCAGTCTCCACTCCTCATTGATAGTTGACTCATTATTTCCTCCCCTTGTTAGCCTGATAGTTTTGTTTACCTTTTACGTAAATGTACCTTCATTATCTCTGTCAGACAACCAGGCTGGTTAGACAAGCAAATGCACAATTCTTTATGACTCAGATATGTTGACTTCCCAACCACATTGAGAGCTTTGATAGTTTACCACATATGAAAATTACAATTCCATTGTCACTGATCACCCTGTTTCATTTGTATTCAAGACCTAGGCAGACCCGTTTCTACTTTGTTCATATACAGACTTGAAAACATTATATCAGAGGACATCCATAACTCCACATGTAGCATTGTCACCTATACTCCACAATGATATTATTGACCAATGTGTTAGTTTTCAAATGATCTCTCACAAGGTACAGTTTTATACAGATACCATTGCAATAGTGTGTGGATACAGGGGTGCTTACAGGCAGCACATTTACCTCCAACCTCCCTTAGAAATATGCATCCCCAAACTCACGTCCACAGTCCTAAAATTCCATACCATTGTTAATAATCTTTTGCAATCAGAAATAATTCTGGTGACACTCATCATGTAAGCCTCTCTCTCCAATTTACAGTGGCATCAGCTAGGCAGAATTAAGACAAAAGCTGCATTTCTCTAAAGATATCTCTACAGAATTGACTGACTTATTTCTTACCTTCAGTTCATATATTTTTCTCTTGCGGCAAGAAACTACTCACAAATTTATGGTACAGCAACAGCCTCAGCTAATGTTTTCATCTCTTAATACACTGCATAGCAACACTAATGAGACAATTTGAAACACAGCTGTAAAAGTGCTACTGTGGATGAAACATATTGAATGAGAATTGGTGCAAAGACTCTTGTGTTGAGCAGATAGCTTGGGACACTTGGAGCTAGATCCACAAAGGAATTTAGGTGCCCAACTGCCACTTTAGGCACATAAATCTAAAATTTGGGTCTTCAAACCCCCCACTTAGCTGCTGCCTAAACCTGTAGATGTCTAAGTTTCCATGAGTAACTATGTGCCTGAATTTCTGACAGAGACCATGTGTAAAGCTGCTTAAGTCCTGATACGGCCCAGCAGCTTGGCACCTAAGCCCCAGCAGGATCCTCAAACTGAGCATTCCCCTGCCTATTCTTGCCTGCTGGTCCTGATCTGATAGGCGTTCTCAGAGGCTGTTTACCAGATCAGGCCCAACACAAAACAAAGCAGGGGAGGAAGAACCCTCCCTTATACCAGTGCTTGGAGCACTCACAATGGATGTGGGAGATCCCAGTTTAAATCCCCAGTCTGCCTGTTTTGGCACAGGGATATGAATACAGATTTCCTGCCACCCAGGTGTGTACCCTGTTCTTATTCTCTTTCTGCCCCAATGGATATTTAAGTATTTCAGATGAGTGTCAGGCACTTTCAACACAAGGCCTGGGTTCCCCAGCCATGGTTGGGATTTGAACTCAGGTTTAACAGGACCCCAGTGAGTGATCTAACCCCTGAACTATTGCCTGTAGGGCAGTTACTGCCTCCATTTTTTGTGAGAAAGGGCTGACCTGACTTAGGCACCTAACTCCAGGACATGGTTGAAGTCTGTGGATCCCAAGCAGAGGTAGGCACCTCCCTCCAGCCCATGTTTAGATGCTTAACATACTGGCTTGCTTAGGCAACCGCCTGTTCTGCTGGATTTTGTGAATCCCATTTGTAGGTACTCAGCTGTCCCCATGTGTTGGATAGGAAGCCTGGGTGCCTAACTTGGAATTGTGGATTCCAGAAGTGGCAGAGTGCCTAAATTTGAGGTGTTGTGCTGCTAAGCTTGTGTTCTATTTGTGGATCTAGCCCATGCTTTTCTCATTACAATGTAAGTCAGATAGGCAGAGTGGCCATTATTACTGTAGGTCAAGGGACTAGAGAAACTATCAATGAATTAAAGAGACCAGGCATGTGGTATGCAGAAAAGTTGTTTGCTTAGCTGACCAGTGCTTAAATGGAACAATGCTTATGTTTTCTTCCCACAAGAATAGGTATATCTGGACTCCCTTTCTAATCAGCTAATCAAGCTATGCATTTAACTCTTTATATCTCCTAATATGTCAGTCCCTATAGTGCCCAATCATTTTTGTTCTTCTTCTCCATAATTCCTTCACTTACTCAATATCTCTGGTATATGGCATGCAACTGACCACAATGGGCTGACCCGTGGATCCAGCCAAGTCACTCTTGGCACAGGAGGGAAACATGACTGTAAGCTTTGGGGCAAATGGGAGCTGGTTAAACTGGCCATAACTTAGAGCAGCCTAAAAGATGTTCTAACTCACAGTGATCCTAGTGCCCCATAGGAACTGTTCCACTGGAGTAGGATGTCTGGAATACAGAACACCTTTCCACCTCTAGCCTGTCCCCTACACTAAGATGTACTCTGTGTACCAAAATGGCAAATCTTATTGTGTTATTTGTTTATTCTAACACTTTATTAAACAAATAAATTAATTGGTCTAAAGTCTGTAGTCCCATAATTGTAGAGAATGCTCTAGTGAACTGTAGTCAGAGAATTTTGCCCACTGAGCTGTGGTCTTCACTATGGGGAGATCAACGCTGCTGCAATCGACGCAGTAGGAATTGATTTAGCGAGTCTAGTGAAGGCCCGAGAAAAGTAAGGGAAGTCGACTGGAGAACGTCTCCCACCAACACAACGCAGTGAAGACATCGGGATAAGTCAACTCCAGCTATGTTATTCAAGTAGTTGAAATAGCATAACATAGGTTGACTTACCCCACGAGTGAAGACAAGTCCTGAGCCTCCCATGTTTGTCGCTAGAGCTGGAGGAGAGTTTTTTGGCCCAAACTTTAAAAAAAAAAAAGTGTTGTGTTGACTTGTTTCAGTAAAACTAAATTCTGTTGTGACACTTTTGAAATGAATTTTTTTTGACATTTCATCAAAAATTTAGAAAAAAACTGGTTTTAGTTCAAGCTGAAAAGTGAACTAAAATTATCTTTTGTCCATATACCTCTACTTGTACGTTTTTGTCTTTTCTGTTGTTCCTATTTTTTTTATTCTCTGTGATATTTTTTCCCCTGCAGCCCTATGTCTTTTTCCATATCTATTTGCCCTGAGTCAAATTTCCCCTTCTCTCTCAATTTTCATTATTCTTTTTGCCCTTCCTCCCTTTCTTTGCCTGTGTTGGTCACTCTCATTTCTCCAAATTCTTTCATTCACTTCTTCCTTATCTTAGTCATCCTCCATTTCTCTCTCATTCTCTTGTCTTCTCAATGTGCTTCTTTAACTCCATTCCTTCCCCCCCCCCCCACATTGTGTCTTTTGTATTCAATTCATTCACTTCACCCTCTGCCATACTCTCTCAAGGGTTGTGGGCAGCCAGAGTTCAGACTCAGGAGTTGAGAGTCAGCTAAGTCAGGATACTGCGAGATCAGAAGCAGAAGACAAACTGGAGATCATAACCTCAAATCAGATGTGAAAAACCTCAGATCAGATGCCAGGAACTCAAGCCAGGGAAGCAGGAAGTACAAGGTACACAGTCCAGAACAGGGAGCCCAGTTGTTCAGTCAGCTTCCTATTCCTGTTGCTGGATTTAGTAGGGACTGTAGGCCTATTGGCTTCTCTGGGACTTCACCAATAGGATGTCAGGGGCGGAGCCTCAAACTGAGGCTGGGCTTCCTGGGTCAGCAGTTGTCAGCAGGCTGCCAAGTTGAGGATTGAAGTGTCGCTGCTGCTGTGGACCTGGATTCAAGGCCCCTGGGCCATGACATCCTCACTGGTCACTCATTCATTTTTCACCCTCTGCCCTGCCATCTTTTGTCCTCACAGTCACCATATCCCACAGCCCTGGTGACTTTCTGCAGTGAATGAAGGCAGAATAGGTGGGTCCCTCACGGAGCAAGAGAACCACTATAAGTGTGCTTCTTTGCCCTGTCCCAACCTAGGGCCAAGATGTACAGATCCATGGATCTAGCCTAATTCTGCCCCTGCTTGTGACACACAAACACAGTCTCTGTAAGTCTTATTGTAGGTGCTCAGATATTACAGTGAAGGGCAGCAGATAAATTGTACATTCAGGTTTCAAATCTGTTTGACTAGTTTGGTCCAGAATCATGCATCATGTTAATTGCCTGACCATGAAATGAGATGTGGCTTTGTTTTCATAGGAAATAAGACTCCCCTTTGCTCTTGTCTGCAAAGGTAACAATGCTCTTAACAAGGGTGCAACATAGGTGGCATGAAAAAGAATCACACAGCTCATTACGTTCACCTTGAAGTTAAGGCATGTCAATAGTATCCCAAAATAGGTGGGTCCTGTTTCTAGGGTCACTTTTCCAGTCAAATAATAGGAGCTAGTGGTGCAAGTGGTGTTCTCGTCCATCCTCCCCGTGGAAGGAAAAGGCCTGGGTACAGACTGTCGAATCGTGGAAGTCAACAAATGGCTACGCAGGTGGTGTCGGAGAGAAGGCTTTGGATTCTTTGACCATGGGATGGTGTTCCAAGAAGGAGGAGTGCTAGGCAAAGATGGGCTCCACCTAACGAAGAGAGGGAAGAGCATCTTCGCAAGCAGCCTGGCGAACCTAGTGAGGAGGGCTTTAAACTACGTTCACCGGGGGAAGGAGATCAAAACCCTGTGGTAAGTGGGGAAGTGGGATACTGGGAGGAAGCACGAGCAGGAGAGCGCTAGAGGGGAGGGCTCCTGCCTCATACTAAGAAAGCAGGACAAACAGCGAGTTATCTCAAGTGCCTATACACAAATGCAAGAAGCCTGGGAAACAAGCAGGGAGAACTGGAAGTCCTCGCAGTCAAGGAATTATGATGTGATTGGAATAACAGAGACTTGGTGGGATAACTCACATGACTAGAGTACTGTCATGGATGGATATAAACTGTTCAGGAAGGACAGGCAGGGCAGAAAAGGTGGGGGAGTTACATTGTATGTAAGGGAGCAGTATGACTGCTCAGAGCTCCAGTTTGAAACTGCATAAAAACCTGAAAGTCTCTGGATTAAGTTTAGAAGTGTGAGCAACAAGGGTGATGTCGTGGTGGGAGTCTGCTATAGACCATTATCCAAATGCCATTGGCCATTATCTTTGAAAACTCATGGCGATCGAGGGAAGTCCCGGACGATTGGAAAAAGGCTAATGTAGTGCCCATCTTTTAAAAAGGGAAGAAGGAGGATCCTGGGAACTACAGGTCAGTCAGCCTCACCTCAGTACCTGGAAAAATCATGGAGCAGGTCCTCAAGGAATCAATTCTGAAGCACTTTGAGGAGAGGAAAGTGATCAGGAACAGTCAGCATGGATTCACTAAGGGCAAGTCATGCCTGACTAATCTAATTGCCTTCTATGATGAGATAACTGGCTCTGTGGATGAGGGGAAAGCAGTGGATGTGTTATTCCTTGACTTTAGCAAAGCTTTTGACACGGTCTGCAACAGTATTCTTGCCAGCAAGTTAAAGAAGTATGGGCTGGATGAATGGACTATAAGGTGGATAGAAAGTTGGCTAGACTGTCGGGCTCAATGGATAGTAATCAATGGCTCCATGTCTAGTTGGCAGCCAGTATCAAGTGGAGTGCCCCAAGGGTCGGTCCTGGGGCCAGTTTTGTTCAATATCTTTGTTGCCGGCACCCAATGCCGAGAGGCTGAACAACAGCTTGAGTTGGATCATTACCCGGTGTGCTACACCCAATAATCACAACGGGGTGGAGAAGCAGAAAAGTTTATTTGCAGCTGCAAAAAGGTACAGG